AAGAAAAAGAAGAAGAAGAATTGTTCTACGAAAATTAACACAAGAAGTAGTTTTTCCTGAAAACTTTCTTATTCTTGATACCTATAAGACCTAACAATGAATAGATTATTATTTATCCACGAATAATTTGATGTACAGAACTTGTTAAAAAAATTGTACCTATATTACTGAGATATTCTACAAGATGTGGTATAGATTCGAAAATGTGGTAGGCATAGTTATAAAACCGTAAATTTTTATCGAATATATACCTATATATATTGGATTGCTTAGCTAAGTATTGATCCCAGCTATCACCCCTCACAGTATGGTGCACTATTAACTAGAAACCATGAATAATCAAGATTCAAAGAATCTTGAAATAAGGCATACATACCAATTCATGTCCGAAATTTACTATGGTTTAGTTGCTGATGATTAATTATTAAAGACAGATGCAAGAGTATAATAATTGAAAGTAGAGGTAATTCCGTACCTCAGTTAAATATAAGACAAGCCTGTTGACATTCAAATAGCATACAAGCGAATATAATTGCTTAATGACGATTAGACAAGAAGTCAACACTAATTGCACGGCGCCAGTATCATCACAGCTGTCTTGAGTTTCGTTCCTAGATATAGATGATTAATATCCTATGGACAAAATAAATATTGTCTTGTAATTATTATAAATCGTCGACTTAATCATGTTACTGTTTGACGATGTAACCCAACTAGTTTCAAGTCGCACTGGGGGCTCATAGTCTTGCCAGAATTGTGTGACGCATGACAAGAGTCGTGCAGTTAGATGAATAGAAACTTGGGTAATAACATATTGTTATTGTGAATCGTAAAAAATATTCGCAAAAGAGATCCACACTCTTGACAACTGTATTTCGTATTTACGATAATTCTATACATATACATATGTATTACAAATTTTGTACTGACCACAATTTCTTCTAATTTAAACAAATATGTATAAGTATCAACGGATACATCAGTAATATTTTTTGTATACTTACTTACAAAAATATAAGGCCGTTGTGTTTTTGGGGTGATTGAACGCGTTTTAATAAATAGCTTTGCGTCGTATCAACATCTCGCGAGGCGGGAAAGATGATGCGTTGTATATTTTGGTTTTCGCGAAAGAGAGATGCGTTTTTGTTTAAATTTGCGCACATCACAGCTGAGCAACGAAATCATGAGGCCATTGACTTTGCTGTTTGGGTCTATACTACTGACAAGACAAGGTTTAGTGAAGTATTAGACATTGATTCTGTCATCCAATGCCCTTTTATTTAATTTTATTACTTTATTTTTATCTTTTGCCTTTTTGCACTGCGATTTTTTTTTGTAACATACCTAAGTATTTATGCGAATGCATGAAAAATTCACTGTTTAAAGCACAAAATCAATACTGTAAAAATCTAACATAGCATCTGCTGTGCGATGACTCTTAGAATTGAAAGAGGCCTATAGTCTTCAGTTCCCACTTTTAGGTTGTAGTGACTACGCTACAGCCTTAAAGGTTACCTAGGTACTAACCTAGGTGACTAATTGATGGAGAGGTATACATATAATTGGCAGGGACGTAGCGCCGTATCTGCCGTATCAATTTATACGGGGCCCCCGAACTACGGGGCCTCCAACATAACATTATGTAGGCCTTTTATGTAGGCAGAGGTGCACTACAAAGTAACACCCACTTTTCACTATTTATGTTATGAGTCCCATGTACTAGGCGGTGAGCTTACTGCCATATACCTACCGGACACAATTCCAGACTCCGTGCTACTACTGAGAATATTTAAATAACCCAGTAATACATAGCCCGACCCAGGAATCGAAAGCAAGCAAATGAATTGAAGGCTTATTTTGGCCAGTAGCACGTCGACAGCTTTATAATAGTTACTGTTAGCTAAATGTAATTATTTGTTCAATTATATTGCGAATGTATTGTTTCTTATAGTTGCTTTCATACTAACATAAAAACGAAAGCAGCTGTGCATTTGTTAAATAATGTAATAACATTCACATTTCTTAGAAAATAAGAATTTAGACTAGGACCAATTTATTTCTGCTACGATTTCTCATCCTAAATAACGTGTGGCTGTATGGACATACGATTTAACTAAACATATTACGCTATACATAATTATTACATTGTACAGTTCGACTGTACAGTAAACATATAAGATGCACAGATATAAAGTTTATATGTGTGTGTTGTACCTATAGCATGCATTATGTGATTGTACACTACACATTTTTCATATTAATTCACATAGCTATTGGACTGTATTAGTATTGTCGAACACAAGGCAAAACTTTATGCTATCACACTATATAGTGTACTATATATATAACATAACATAACATCACGCCTTTTTATCCCCGAAGGGGTAGGCAGAAGTGCACATTTCGGCACTTAATGCCACTGTACAATATAACACCCACTTTTCACTATTTATGTTAAAAGTCCCATGTAATAGTGTACTATATATCATAGTATACTAAAAATGTTACAGTTTCTTTGCTTGACTATTTGCTCGTCGTCGTCTACGCTGAAACTACTAAACGGATTTTGATGTAATTTGGTATGCAGGTAGGGTATAGGCTGATAGTATAGTTTTTATTCCGATTAAATGCTCCACAGCAATACGAAGAAGCTAGTTGCGAATTATTTTAAAAACTGACCACAATAACTCGAACCACAAACCGAACCCCACAACGACAAGACCTTTGAGAAAATTGTTGACAGCAGCTAAATTAAACGCCAGTTAACCCGTAATTTTATTGTCATTTTAATGTAATGTGAAATTAAGTGTTTCCGCTCATGCAGGGTGAACAAAAAGTTAGCAATTTAATAATTTCACGTCTACTTGGCAAACGCAGCTGTTTCATACTTGATTGTGTACATAAATATTTTTTATTGTGTAGTTTAAATTGTCACATTAATTTGAAAAGGTACATAATATATCAGACACCTGCTTTTGTAAATAAATTTACAGTATTCTTTATTAGTCTAATTTAGATCCGAAAAGGAAACAAATCAAGTAACATAGTGGTATGATGCCACGGCCTCACAGAAAACCGACGTGAAACAGCGCTTGCGTTGTGTTTCTTCGTGTGCGTAAGGTTACCGGAGGCCCTATTTACCCTCCGCCCCTCACCAATGCCCGAATATCCCACATTCCTCAAATTCTCAATTACCAAAAGGCCGGTAACGCACTTGTAACGCCTATGGTGTTTCAGGTGTCCATGGGCGGCGCAGCGCAGATTGCTTACCATTAGGTGATCCGTCTGATCGTTTACCGGCTTATTCTTAAAAAACATCGCATAAATTATCATCGAAATAAATATGTTTCTTCAGTTTAATCTTTGCATTGTGGGTGACTATTACTACTAAACGTGGAAATACTACTAAACGTGGAATTTTGTAAAGAATTACGTACATACCTATGTATATGGACATTTTTTTCTTTTATAATAACTTCGTTTGGTTTTAGCATAGGGATAGATACAATCATTGTTACCCTGGGCATGCGGACGAAACCGCTGTCAAAAGCTAGTATACAATAGACTAGTTACTTACATACCACGAAATGTTGTATTTATTTGGTGTCTGAGCCCAAGGCCCTCCGCGTCGCGATATTGAAATAAGCTGCCGAAAATAACTACGCCACGTGGGGGCGTCCGGCGACGCGACTTGCGTATGCGCCTCTCCAACACAAACATAAACATCACAATTATTGTTTTTTATGGCAACACGAATGGTCGTATTGTATTCTTAAAGACCTAGTTATCTCTTTTATTGTATTATTTTCATGATTTTCTATATACAGTATACTTTACGCTTTCATTCAGGTTTTAAACATTTTTACGCCATAAAATGCAGTTGTAGTTTTTGTCAACATTAATGTCATCTTTCTGTCAATAGGTTATCAATTTGCACTTAGATAATCGAATAAAATAAAAAATGAGTACCTATGGATTCTACGTGTATCACTGTAGCATTCCTAATGTATTAAAAACTAAATGAATTCAAATACAAATAAAATATATGTAAGTAATATATATGTATAAGTAATATATATGCAAGATGTGATGACAAACGTTGGGACATGAGAAACTAAATAAAATAAAATTGTAAAAAATGCTTTCTAAACAAATTTCTTAATCACCTAGCGTGGTCGGTTAAATAAAACTGACATGATAAGTGGTATCAATTCAGTAAATAAGCCACTAAATAGCACATTTATCGTTGTATCTGTATGAATAAGAAGTATCTTATATTATATAGTATTCTAATTCTATCTACCTGTGACTTCGTCGCGACATCTGTTAGTAATTATTGAAACTGGAACGCCAGCCAAATACTATATTTCAGTCAGAACTAGTATGTTTGCCTGATTTACGGACTATTACCATTGGTACGGATGTACCTGGATTTGTGCCTAAAATAACAGTCTATAACTAGACCAACGATGAATCTTCAAAGAGAATGACCAGAAACAGTATTTTAATAAAATAAAATATGTTTATTTATCACCATAATGTTTTGTACCTAATTCATAAATTACAATGTTATTTTATTCTGACTGCTCAGAAGGTAACAGAGCTGAGTCTGGAGATTACTCTCGACTATTATCCGGGCATTAGCCCGGGGACTGGCAATCGGTTCATCCTATGGGATGATGATACTTCTTTTAAGGTTGTATATCATCCAATGAATTCTTCCGCCTTGGGTGAAGCGAGGGAGAGTGTCAGACTCTTACTGACTTAAGACCACCCGTTCCTACTCCTGCTTTGAACCAAAACCCCGTTAACCGGTTAGGTACCTCATAATATTTGAAACTCATAATTAGTGAAGAATGGGGAGTAGCACTCTCTAGTTTTATAAATCTACTACTTTTACAGCTAAACAGATACGAGATTACCAATATGACAAACCATTTTGCCGTGGTCTCTTAAGATTGACGATTGAAAACTATAATTGCCTATTGTTTACGTTTCAGATGCAAGAAGACGGGTACGTGGTCTTAGAAGACTTCCTGACCCCATCAGAATGTGACGAGATGGTTGCAGCGGGAACAGAATTCACAAAGAATTTACCTCCTAAAGAACAAAGGATCATTTTCTCTACTGTCAACTCTGAAAAGCAGGTAAATGTCTTTGGTATTCGTTACATAATAAATTCTGCTGCTGATTGGCATTGATGACAATTTAGGGCGTCACGAACTGTGACAAATTCCTTCAACCTATACCCCCGCAAAATTAAACCTTGCATCTTTGAGGTTAGTATATGGCATTATTAAATTGAACAGTCCAGCTTTCATAGTTCTTGATTCATTTATGGGTTCTTAGAAAAGATGTCAACTGTCTATTTTACTTAAACTGTCAAACACCAAGCGGTCACCGGTGACCGCAACCTATTGTTCTATAATTGTGTCTACAAAACCGGTACTCGACGAGTTAAATACGCCTGTCACCCATGTGGGTAGCCGAAGACTATGGAACGCTAATTACTCCAAAATGACATACCTCTTTTGTTTCATCAACAGTCATCAGTTGTTTCATGCATCATGTATGCTTGTCGGTTAAGGGTACTGGCTAATCTAAAATCCTATATGGCTCTTCTATGTCTGTCTGTCAACCTTTCTAATAAGACTCGATTGCGACATTATATATAGGCACAAGTTTTTAAACCGAACCAAATATTTCGACCCCCTAAATATCTGCTGCATTAACCATGTATTACTAATATTTGACCTTTTCTCGTTCTAGCAACTACAAGACGAGTATTTCCTGAATAGCAACGATAACATTAGTTATTTCTTCGAAGAATCTGCAGTCGGGCCCGACGGAGAATTGGCTGTAGACCCCAGTATATCACTGAACAAAGTAAGTTTAAATAGTCAAGGGCATTAATTCTGGTCTTATTCTGTCTTATAAAAATTATATTAATCAGAGAAGTTAAGAGCCATCAGACCACGACGGATAACCCAATAAAGCTGATGCCGATACGGAGCCGCGGAGAACGTAAATGGTTACCGAAGCTCCGGCTCGAAGTGCTGGAGTAGGAACAGGGTGGTTTTTAATCAATGAGAGTTTGACGCCTGACACTACATCCCTTAAAAAAATATCATTTTTCACTTGCTTACTAAACTTTTATTTTGATAGGATGTGTAAGAACAAAGTAAGTTACTTTACAAGCTTTTTCAGAAGGTAACTAATAGTATTTCTTCTGGTTCTAGGTCGGTCACGCGTTGCACTACCAGCACCCGATCTTCAGATGCTACACGTATTGTGACCGCGTGAAGGAAGTTGCCAAAGCTCTGGGCTTCAAAGAACCGGCGGTGGTGCAGTCCATGTATATCTACAAGAACCCTGGTATTGGAGGCGAAGGTAAGATATTTTAATCTTCGAATTCGATTTGATTTGGTTCAATTTGTTGGTTGATAAATCATTAAATGTTTCCCCTCGCCCTGGAAGTGTCGGGAGGGAGTGCCAGCCCGCCGTGTTTTAGTGAATTCCTCCTTTATAAAATGCATAATTTACTCTACCGTCAAGACGTGGTTTGTTATCTTGCAATAATTTCTGTTACAGTAACTGCACACCAAGACATTACATATCTGCACACCTCCCCTGTACCACCAGTGGGTTTCTGGATAGCCCTGGAAGATGCCACAGTTCAAAATGGATGTCTCTGGATGGTCCCAGGATCCCACAAGTCTGGAGTCCATAGACGACTTACAAGGAATCCAAATAGTGATAGTAAAGATAAACTGATTTACGACAATCCAGCACCATTCTATCCTCAGTCTAGATTTACTCCAGTTCCAGTTAGTAAAGGTAAGTCTTGACACCTTTAAATATATTTTAAAAACGGTATGCTTGGTGCAGAGGGAGCAGGATGCAGGTCGCTTCCAACCGGCCTATATGGACGTCATTGGGGGACGCCTATGTTCAGCAGTGGACGTCCTGTGGCTGATGATATGTGGCTGATATGATGATGATGATAATGATGCTTGGTGTGTGGCATTAGAGAGGTCTATATCTGGCAATGGATGGAATCGGGCTGATAACGATGATCATGCAGTAGCATGATCATCGTTAATTATCGTTATCGTTCGATCGTCGATCGTATCGATCATCGTTAATAGCAGGTCTCATAGTAATGAGACCTGCTAATCTGCGAGACCATTTCGAAGTTTATGTTAACATGTTAAATCATCATTAACGAAACGAAAGACAACTAAAACTTTCATAGGTGACTCTTTGGGCTTTGACCGAGTTCTTGGGGAATGTTTCAAAATACGTAATTCATGTTCCAGGTACCTGCATAGTCCTCCACGGTAACGTAGTACACAGGAGTGCGCACAACCACTCCAGCAGCGGGCGGCCCGCATACACGTTCCACATCATAGAGAAGCAGGACAACCAGTATTCCGCGGACAATTGGCTGCAGGAGGGAGAGCGCGCACCCTTCTCCAACCTCTACACCACCTCGCAGCTCATGTAGATGGGTAGACCACACCCGTTAACACACAAGTCCCAAGATAACGTTTAAGTAAAGTTTGTTTGCTTTGACATTATTTTTTGATGGATTTTAGTTATGTAATTTAATAATTAATCATTATTATTGACGCAAAATACACATACATACTACATATTGCGAATTGATAACTACTTCAGATGGAAAATTAAATCAATGTACACACAGTGTGCAGAGTTTGTGGTACTAGACAAAATTGTTCACGATTCATTTTAAGTACCTTTCGGGTATCACTAGTAATTGCACCTAGAGCCTAGGTAGTAACAGTTACCAAATATAACGCTCATGTTAATAAGTGAAATATCAATATAAGTGAAATACTGAAAAATGAGTCGTTAAGTTAATATATTTTTGTATTATAACTTTTGTAAGACACCGTCTCACCGACGAGATAACACGACTAGTTTCAAGCTACGCTCGGGGCCCGTAGCGTTGGCGTTATCACGTTACATGAATTTGTGACTATGGGCTCCTGGTGTGGTGTAGTTACCTTAATAATATATTCAAATTATAAATGTATATCTGCAATATTATTAAAAATAAATAAATGTTTAAGAATATGTGCTTGTGACGTCATTCGTAAGTACAGAAATGGAAAATAATTATCATTATAATATTATGCATTATATCAATGTTTTTGTGTACGATAGCACATATTTTTATTTTGTGATAAGTACATTCATAAATTTAAATACCTATTGTACGCCATATTTTTGACAAGATTACAATAAACTCGATATTTTAATACTTTTTTATTTTACTGAGGCTATTATACAACTTGTTATTTTATGAATGAAGTCTAAATAAAGGCTGTTGTGTCGCTTCCAACCAGTTGACCAGGATATTGGAAGTCGTTAGGGTGTACCTATAGTCAGCAGTGGACGGCGAGCGGCAGTTGTGGCCAGGTGTGATATTGATAGTAATGGCTGAGTTGTTAATAGAGTAGGTAGTACTGTGGTAGTACTGCAAGGCTGACTGCTGAGCATGGGGTTGATACCCCAGCCAACTGTTATTTGGTTCATTGTCGCAGGGAGTTTGGGATCATACCCGGTTTATGGCAATTCGGTGACCTTCTATATTACATTTATAACATACTCACAATGTTGTGTGACCGTAACTTCAATCTTTTAATACTTTCTAATTGTCTGCTTATAAAGAGGATAAAGACTGTGAGTTTTTATTAAATACTGTTCCCTTCTGCCCGATCCCTTGCAGCGTTAACGACTCAAACTATTTAGTTATATTTCTACATGACAATACACGTATAATGTTAGTGTAAAAGATATGTTTTAAATTTAAAATAATAATTTTAATTGCAATTTTGGTGATTGGCGCAACGTATTGTTCAATATGGTCGTTTTCTAAGTGTCTATGGATAAAAGTTATTAATATATGAATTATTTTGACCCTTCTTGAAGAGACAATAAAGTTATTAAGCATTTAAAAAAGAAATATTTTGTGTAACACACATTTGAAATTCAAGGCCACAATCAAGAAGACACCAGAAATTTTTTCTAACGCTGTAATTGAATTTTGATATTAAAGTCTGAAATTTTACACAGTGTACAGGAATAGGCTTGTCAATGACCTTCTGACCCTATTTCGAAAAAAGAATCGTGATGATACGTTAAATTGTTATTATTAATTTTTGATGGCTTTTATCTCAGAAACTATTAGTTGTATTTCAAAAATTCTTCTTCTGCATGATAGTCACTCTCGTAGAGAAAGTGTCCTAGTATTAAACATCACGCTACGCCACTTAGGAACGTCGCAGAGAGAGCAATATGCGGGAGAGGGAAATGGAAAAAACTAGAGAAGTAATGAATATTTATTAAAAATTGGTATTTTTCTAGGTTTCTATGTCAAGTGTAATTCCTAAAAATGCAACAAATTAAAGAAATAACGCACTATCCAAAAAAAGTTTAATGTCGAAGTAACACCTTTATTATTTTAATTTCAAATTAAGTTCATCATTTAACATGGATTTAAGGTGGTTTAATAGTTATTTATGAATATTTTTTAAAAATTGATTAGTGAGACATCTATTGACAGTATTAGGAAACCGGACATTTGAAGAAAACGCTATCTATGGTACAAATATCGTAACATAATTTAACGCCATCTATAATTTTACCCCTGCAACTTCAGCAGTTCGCCATCTATGACGCACGATACACATTATTAACTTGTATGGTTGACAACGTGCTGTGCAGTGCCTCGCTTCGATCTGCAATGCGTTCTTAACCAAGTTAGTTCCGTCTAATAGATGTCGAACCAATGCACTTTTTTGTGGTTAAACTATTATTTATTGAGTTAATTTATAATTATCGTTATAAATTAACTCAATAAATAATAGTTTAACCACCATGAATCATTGTTTAACGATAAAACAAATATTTACTTGAAACAAATAAGGTGTTATTTCGACATGTATATTTTTTAAATAGTGCATTATTTTATTAATTTTTTGCATATTTACGGATCGCATTTGACACAGGAACAAGGATAAATAAGTATTTATAAAAAATATCCCTTTATTTCCCAGTTTTTTGACAAAAGTTCCCTTGCCGCATTTTGCTCGCTCTGCGCCGTTCCTAAATGTCGTAGCGTGATCTTTGATACAAAATCAATTTTCCAGAAAGTGTGGCTATTGTATGCAATAAACATTTTTAAAATCCAACTGCTAGTTTCTGAGAAAATAGCATTAAAAAATTAGTAACCTAAATTAAACGTAATATCACGCTTCTTCTTCCGAAAAAGGGTCAGCAGGTGAATTACGAGCCCATTTCTGTACCCGGTGCAAAATTTCAGACATTTATCTCAAACTTCATATCCAGCGTCAGAAAAAATCGTGGGTATAAGCCTTGGATTTCAAATGTGTGTTTAACAAAATATTTTTTTTTGAATAACAACTTTATTTTCTAGTTAAAATGGGCGTAAATAATTTATATATGCATAAATTTTATTCATAGATACATAGAAAACGATAATTATTAAGAAATATGTAGCACCGGTGCGACTACATCAAAAATGCAATCGTAATTATTATTTCTGACTTCTATTTTAAAATAATAACTGTATATTTTTGGGAAAATATACCTAAATAATTCACTATCCTATGGTATTAACCCATGGATACCATGAACACAAATTTTAATATACGTCGCATTCTCGCATCGAATCTGCACCCACTATAAACTAATGTTTACCAGGTATATATAGATGTAAAAAAAATCTACTTCATCGTTCTTCGTGGCTGCTGCGCACCGTGTCGCTGGTTCAATTCCCGCCCGGAGCAACTCTTGTGATTGTGTGTGTGATCCAAAGATAGTTGTTTCGGGTCTGGGTGTCATGTGTATGTGAACCTGTACCTATGTTTGGAAACGCACCTCTACCGCTAATTCCTGAATCCCCAACGATCCTCAAACTCCTAATCCTCAAAAGGCCGGTAACGCACTTGTAACGCCTCTGGTGTTCCAAGTGTCCATGGGCGACGCCGATTGCTTACCATCAGGTGATCCGTCTGGTCGTTTACCGGCTTATGCCATAAAAGAAACATACGACACAGGAGAAAATGCTAGTGTGGGAAAAAAATATTTAAAAAAATCTTCCATGGGTTTCTTAACTAACTGCTCAAAAATGCACTGAAAATTACTTTCAGTTGTGATCATAATATTTTCAGGAACAAACTAAGATGTGACAGGTAAACATCGCAAGTTTAGCGGTAAATCTGCAATTTTAAAAATATAATACACATTAAATATCATTATTATGTATTCGATTTCATCACGTGTCTGTTTGACGTGGACCTCGACTAGTTTCAAGCCATGCTAGAGGCTCTTATTCATGAGCAACATTCTGCGACCCGCGACGCGGCGACTGTCGCGCTGCTTCTAAGTGAGCCGAATACAACATCAACAGCCGTCAGACCACCACGGATGGGGCACAATTCGGCTGATGCTGATACCGAGCTGAAAAAAAGGGACTACCGCGCACGCTGCTGATGAGGTAGAGTACTAGTAAAGCTTTTCTCAGTATTTGTAGGCGTACTTACACACGTACATATGTGTGAATTGTTATTTTTAGTTAATTCAGTATGGTTCACGATAGTTATTATAAAATAATATATTAGATTAATGAAACACAGCCTCAGTAGTTATTGTTCCTTTATTTATTGTTAAAATATATTTTTTTAATATTTTTATATAAATACAGCAGAAGTTTAAAATTAGAAGAGTCCACGTTACCTCTTGCCATATCTAATATCGGAGAGCCTTCCATATTGAACTTTTGAACCAATTATCTTCATGTTGAAACTGTTTCTACCCAATTACGTAACACCTATAGTAACAATGAAAGATGCAATAAAAAAAAATTGAATTTGAATTTGAATCGTACATTAGCCTACTCGGGTGATACTCTAGTCAAGTATACAAGGTGTTGTTTTAAAGCCGCGTCATTTTCTAGGAGGTAACTCTGCAATCGATTCTGAGTCCCAATCAATAAAAAAATTGTACTTAAATATTTTTCATTTTTCTGTAGGTAAATTACGGAAATCCGTAAGTGCGAACTGCACGCCGCCGTCTTGTAACTAGTTTTGTAACGCGGCTTAACACACACAAACTCAAACACGTAATTGATATTAAATTCCTAATTCCATAAAACTCCAATAAGAAACATTGCGGTCGCTTATCCTGAAATATTGTCGAACTTAAACGATTTATTATAGCCGTATTTTTAACTATTGGCCCGAAACTTTCTTTTACATTGAACCTTTATGACTTCTGTGACATGCCCCCGAGAAATGCCACGGTTTCAGAACTACACCTTGTATTATAAACTAACTAGCCCGCGACTTCGTTCGCGTGGAATAGTGACTTCCGGCAGATTTTTGGTTTTACCCCGAAACTGCGGGGTTTTTGAGGAGTTTCCGCTCTCGCGGGATTTCCGGGATAAAAACTATCCTATATCCTTTCTCGAGTTCTAAACTATGTCCGTACCAAATTTAACAAAAATCGATTCAGTAGTTTAGGCGTGAACAAAAGACAGAAAGACAGACAGACAGACGAGTTACTTTCACATTTATAATAATAGTTTCGATTTTGAATTATTATTTCGGCCGAAATATATAACCGACCTTACTAAAATTCTAAATATCTGAATTGTTCCAGAATTTTTGACAGAAATTCAATAGAAGTTGAATTGGTATCAATTTTAGGCATTAGTCTCAATTTTATGTTACCGTTTGGCAATGGACCTCGACTAGTTTTAAGATACACTAGGGGCTCATATATGAGCTGAATTGATTAGTCTAACAATTAAGCATTACGGCCGAATACCGAAAGGCTACTTAATTTTAAGTTGTAGATAAGTATATTTAATTTTTGGGTAGCACTTGGTTGCAGGTTCGGTTGAGGCGCAAACTGGCTTCACCTATATGATCTACGAGGTGGTGTAGAGGTTGCAGAAGGGCGCGCGCTCTCCCTCCTGCAGCCAGTTGTCCGCGGCGTACTGATTGTCTTGCTTCTCTATGATGTGGAACGTGTACGCGGGCCGCCCGCTGCTGGAGTGGTTGTGCGCACTCCTGTGTACTACGTTCCCGTGGAGAAGTATGCAGGCACCTGGAACAATATTTAGGTATACTTTCTTATGTTAATAATGTATGTCACTACTACACAGTACTGGATTGCCCGCTGAACTACGATCTCTTGATAAACTATTCTTCTGCAGAGGAGGGCACTATTTTCCTCTGTTACGAGGTATTGGGGGTAGGATATTATTGTACGATTAAAAAATTCCAAATCGAACTTCCTGGGATGAGAAATGTTGTATCTGTAATTTCGAAGTACGAAATGTTTCCAATTTATTATCTGTTATTCGCATTTACATTCACTGTTTTATATATATATCTGTATTATTTATGTTTATAAATTGGGTACCTACTTTCCTTAATCGAAAATAAGTATTTCGACTGTTCAATACAATAATATATTAAAAAATAATCACACTTTCATTAGTTGATTTTATGACCTACTTAATTATAGTATGTTTCCACCAAATTTTTAAGAAATATATAAGTATGCTGTTTGATGCTCGAAATACGTGACGTCACAATACACAATCTCATACAAAATCATAGACAGTTTTTGACAGTTCGTAAAAAGTATTGATTTTGACTAGTTGGCAAGTACCCATTTCGATACAAATTGAAATCTTCTGACAGAGACTGGAAAATTTTAATTAACAACTCATGATTGTATCACCTATACAATTTTGTTATTGTTTATATAGTCTTATGTTGTTTAAGCTTCGTTTATTAACATGAGCGTTGTTCACAAAGCATATTGTATTAACATCGTGTAGGAAAACGTACGAACATCGCATGTTCCTAGCATTTTGGGGGATTAAGTTGAAATTGGGGGTTCCGTGGGAAATTCAGTTTGTTTATTATTACATGGTATAACAATATTTTAAGGCTTAAGGCTTTTTAGTTAATTGAAATACAATTTTAGTAACAAATGTCAGTTTAATAGGTTTAGAACCTGTTCCGGAATTCCTGGATAGTTTCTGTCATCATCAACAGCATATAAGTGCCCAGTGCTGAGCAGTCTTCTCTCATATACAGAAAAAAAAACGCTTGCTCAATGCGGGTTGGATGCAGAAGACTGGAATTATTGGTGGTGATGCGCCGTATAAGAGAATTGTCTCCGGCAAATAATGGTGATGAACCACTACAAGTTTAGTTTAGAACCTAGTCGGAGTAGGCAACTAAGTAACAAATATAGGTTGATGCGGAAAGCTCCAAGATTCTTCAGGTAGATCAATAGATAGGAAGCAATATAAAGAAACACAAAGAAAATTGGTTTAAAAAACTAAAAGCTTTCAGAGAATGTCTGAGGGATGGAAATGAGGCACTTTCTACTTCAAAATCAAATAATAAATTATTATAATTTAATTTATTCTTCTATTTATTCCTCCGAAGTGCCGTTTGACATTTTGATTAGACAGGTACCTATCTGACAGTGAAAGATAAAGTGGTCTGTTCTATTTAAGTAGGTAGATTTATAAGTAGGTAATGTAGCCTAGCAGCTTTGAGCAACTTCAATCTCGAGATCGACTGGGTATCAGAATGAAGTGGTGACGTAATGTTATAAATTTTTGGCGGATGCTCAATCTACTGTTTGATTGCACCATAATTTACGGGGAGTCCTCCTCCCTGGTAATCTTTCACGTGCTGTCAACATAATTGGATGTTACAAGGAGGAATGGTAGGTATCTGAATTGGCTACTGGTTTGGTATGTGGTGTTCCCGAGGTTTCAATTTTCAGATCTTACAAGGTGAATTTGGGGTAGGCTCATGACTACACAAGAACATAAGTCAAGGTATGTCTTACCTTTGCAGACTGGAACTGGAACAAAACCAGATTCAGGATACTCAGTAGCTGGAGTATCGTATATCAGTTTCTCTTTACTGTCTTTGTCTGGATTCCTTGCTAGTCGTCTATGGACCCCCGACTTGTGAGAACCCGGGACCATCCAGAGACATCCATTTTCTACTGTGGCGTCTTCTAGGGCTATCCAGAAACCCATTGGCGATACAGGAGCAGTGTGCAGGTAGGTGATGTCTTGATGGGGAATTACTGCAAAGGAGAGTATTGTAATGAAAACATCGATGAACAAATATGTGTTTCAAGTATGAAATATGAAACATACGTAAATACATATTTTTAAATAATGATTTTAAAATTAGTTGTAAAATTAGATTATATTGTAACTGTTTTCTTGGACCACTCCTGTAGAACATCGGCTATGACTGGTTGCTGCGCACCGACCTTCCGAACGGCCTTAGCATTGTATGCTACGCCAACGACACGCTGGCGCTAGCGCACGGGAGTTCACGGCGGCGGCGGCCTGATGACGACAGCGGTTGCGACTGCCGAATGGCACCAACAACTGTCGTAAAACGGGGCTAGCTGCCATTGCAGCGGTAAATCCCCTCTTTGAGGATTAGCTTGAGAGACGCTACGGCATCCTCATCTACTGCCTTACGCAGGTCACATGTGGTTACAGGTGGACACGGGAGTTTCGGGAGGTACCTGTATCTGATAGGACGGAAGGAAATGCGAGGAGGCGGGCCGCATGAGGTAGCGAAGCGCTGTCTCCTCATTACCCAGCCGTCGCGAAGGAAACTCCGGGCCTCGGAGATCGCGAGACGATGTTCGGCCACCGTAAGCACGGGCCTGCGAACTGGGTAGCTCGCCGTCTGATCAGAACCAGACCCGAGCTTGCGGCGCGTCGCGTTCTGCGCGCGCTCAAGGAGCCATCAGACCACCACGGGTCCTAACCCAATAGGGCTGACACCGATACGGAGCCGCGGAGAACTTAACGGGTTACCGGGGCTCCGGCTTGAAGTGTAGGAGTAGGAACGGGGTGGTTTAGTCAGTAAGAGTCTGACACTCCCTCCCACCTCACTCGGGCGGGAAAAGTCTTCGATAATGAGACCCCTCTAAAAAACAATTGTAACTGTTTTTTATAGGTGTATTCCTATAAACAGTCAGGACAATACATGACACATTTTTGGAAACATTACAAGCAAGTCAACTTGGGTAATATAATTAAAAATTTATTTATGGAATGCCATTGTTATGTCATAAATATTTGGGCTCAGAAAATGGCGATGTTATAACAAAATAAAAACAAATGTAATCAAAAATGATAGTCCGCCAAAACACGTTATAAAAATTCCATCTACGAAATGCGAAAGAATTTATGAAGTTTGTTTTTTGAACCCCGTAAAGTTTTATTGGGAGAAAGTTAAGGGCATCTGAGGCCGGAAGAATATGGGAAAAGTCAGCGATGGCCGGCATTTGGGCTTCGTACGTAGCTGTAAGGTGATTGAGAAAAGCAGCCGGGAAGTATGAGGAATTGGTTTTAAAATAACAAAATGTTGGTATAGTTTCTTATAGTCTGCTTCTTTGCTTACATGTGCGACCGTTGAACCATACAATTGCGTTTTTGGTTAATGAGATGAAGGAAGCTAATACTCTAATACTATATCTCTTTCTATCACTCCGAGGCAAATTTAAGTTAAATTTTAAGTAATTACATACCTTCGCCTCCAATACCAGGGTTCTTGTACATATACATGGACTGCACCACCGCCGGTTCCTTGAAACCCAGAGCTTTGGCAACTTCCTTTACGCGGTCACAATACGTGTAGCGTCTGAAGGTCGGGTGCTGGTAGTGCAATGCGTGACCGACCTGGAATCAGCGATTAGACACCTCTTGACAAAGCTTATAAAGTAGTTTTTCCTAAACATAACATCACGCCTGTTATCCCTGAAGGGGTAGGTAGAAGTGCACATTACAGCACTTAACGCCATTATAACACTACTGTTCACTATCTAGGTTATGAGTCCCATGTAATAGAGGGTGAGCCTATTGCCATAAACCGGGCACAGTTCTAGACTCTGTGCTACTACAGAGATTTTTTTTAAAAACTCAGTAATTCTTTGCTCGACCCAGGAATCGAACCCGAGACCCCTTGCAGGTGCACTTACGATATCTCGGCCAACGAGACAGTTTTTCCTGAACTAAATAAGTAAAATCATGATGATAATTCGACTGATATGATAACCTTTGAAATAGAACTTGTGGTTGAGAAATGAAATACCATGATCTTAGTGAAATAGTACCAACATTGTTGTATACAATACAGTGAAGTAAAACTACCTAGATATCTGATTTTCTGCTATCTATCCCGATTCCTTGACATCTCATAAAAATACCTAAATAAGTTAGTTTCGATTTAAACTTACTTTGTTCAGTGATATGCTAGGGTCTACAGTCAGTTCTCCATCGCGCCCGACTGCAGCGTCCTCAAAAAAACAGTGGATGCTGTCGTTGCTATTCAGAAAGTAGTCATCTTGTAGTTGCTGGAATGAAAGATGGTTTAGAATGTTAGTGGCGTGGAAATTGGCACTGAATGATTTGGTTCAAATATTTTTTTTTATGGGACAAATCCGTCATGAAGTTTGGTTCGAATATGTTTAATTTGGACGAGAACATATGTCCAAGCATTATTCGTGAACCTAACTAACTATCTCGGTTAGCCACGTGGTTCTAATTCCAATTCCTTTACCTTACAAATATTGGCTTGAATGAGACATTTAGCTATTTAATCACACTTCTCGACTAGCTAGTCGTCCAGTCGCTATAATCGCTGCGATATAATATATTATGTATATCCTATTTACAAACACAGGTTTATTCACGTGAAATCACAGAAAAGAGAAATACTAAATACAAATACAAATACAAATATTGTTTATTTCGTCAATGTAGGTATGTTACAATAGATGATAGATAATATTATAGTAGTTCGCTACATTGTGTCTGTACAGACATACAAAATTTTTTATAGTATGTTCTTAATCTAGTGTGTTTACAGACAATAATCTTCCCTGTCTACATTATGGAACATAATACACCTAATTACAACTAAATTAATATTAACATCAAGTTTTAATAAAACTATTATTTGTGTTGAAAATTTACTCTATCAGCCGTATACTCAATTAAACTATAATAACATACTGAGAATAAATATTGAGAAAAGCTCTACTAGTTTCGAGTCACAGAGGGACTCTTCTTCAAGAGTAGCCAGCGATTCTCATTACTTTACGTGGGTAAAACTGCGTTTTAAATTAACTTGGTACCACTAAACCTATGAATCCTTACTAATATTATAAATCAGAAAGTGAGTTTGTTTGTTTGTTCTGCTTTCACGCCGTAATTACTAAACCGATTGCTTTGATTTTTTGCAGACGTAAAGTTAGAAGTCCAGATTAAATAATAGGGTACTTTTTATGCCGGAAAAAATGATATTTCCGAGGGAAAACAAAAGTATTGGTATAGATGGCGCTGTGTGTATTGGTATATGCCACATAGGCTACTTTTTATCCTTTTGTGATGCGAGCGAAGCCGCGGGTAAAAGCTAGTAAAAGAATAAAAAATACCCTTAATTAGGCGTCAAGGTACTCCTTCTATAGTTATTATTATAAAACCTGTATAACCATCGTTATTGTCGAAAAACAGTGTAAATTGGCGATTTAACATAACTAAACGTAAAAATCAAGATTCACCGAGTCTACATTACCCTCTTTTCAGCGTCAACAGAAGTGAACACGATCCTTTGTTCTTTAGGCGGTAAGTTCTTAGTGAAATCTATTCCGGCTGCCACCATCTCGTCGCATTCTGATGGAGTTAGGAAGTCTTTGATGACCACGAAGCCATCCTCGTCCATCTGAAAATAATTTGTTTAGTTTTTTAATAAAAACGTTGCCTACACTAGGATTTTCTCCTGTGTCGTGGTGCGTTTACAAACATATAAGTTCACATACGCATAAACATCGAGACCTGAAACAACAATCTGTGGATCACACAAAGAGTTGTTCCATGCGGGAATCGAACCCGCAACACGTTGCACGGCAGTCAGTTGTCCAACCACCGTGCCAACCGTGCAGTCAAATTATTTCATAGATCACGATGTCTTGATGACCTGTGTATTAGTCAGGATCGTTAGTCACCTACTTTTTCTTCGAATATCGTAAGAGGCTTATTTAAAGTTAAAGTTAAAAGTCAAAATCATTTATTTCAATTAGATCAAGAAGGCACTTTTGAACGTCAACACAAAATATTTAAATATTAAAGAAATAATGTCAGTCTGTAATTTGACTATGGTCACAAAAACTAGGGGTGCTGATAAATAAATATACCCTGAATTGCTGTATTTACCACACGCAATTAAAAACCATTAAGTACCCATCAAAAGCATTTCTTTCGTAAATTAAATTAATATTTTTGTAGTAGGTATACCATTTTTGTTTCCTTATGGAATAAGTCGGTAAACGAGCGCACGGATCACCTAATGGTATGCAATCGGCCTCGCCCGTGTAAACCCAAAACACCAGAGTTGTTACAAATGCGTCACCAGCCTTTAGAAGATCAGGAAATGGAGGATTTTTGGGGATTCGGGGATTAGAGAGATTAGGGAGGGAGATAATTGGGTCTCCGGTAACGTCACTTACACGACGAAATAAAATTGAAATGTTGTTTCACGTCGGTTTTTTGTGAGGCCGTGGTATCATTCCGGTCGAGCCGGCCCATTCGCGCCGAAGCAAGGCTCTCCCACACTTGAATGTAAAAGTGTAAAATTTTATTGTCAAAACTAAAGTAAGATACGTTATTATTACGTATGATGGACAACCGTAACTCAGACTCACCGAAATGTATAATAATAAGTAAAAAATAAATATTTAATATAAGTAACATAAAATAATTACTAAGCGGGTTCTGTTTTAGAGACGTAGTTCTGTCCAACGCACGTTCTTCTTTGATACTGTAATTACATAAGATACAAAGGCAAACGAGTACTTTAACAGTTTAATTAATCGAATAGTAACTACTATTTATCTTCAGCCCTTTACTGTCCGAAACAAAAGCAAAATTAATCTTTACTATTATAATTTCTAAACGCACAAAGCTTTGAACTATAGTGGATTAATTGTGTAGGTAAGTAATATCTTCTACCAGTACCTTTGTCGTTAATACATAAAATAAAAACTCTGTCTTATTCCAGGCTATAACCTGCATAGATCTGCGCCAATTTTTATCCAGACCCTACCAGCTTTTCTGTCGTAATTGAAAAACAAAGATCTATTTATAGCACCGCGGTTTGTACTGTATAAATCGGAATAAGGAACATGATTTCTTCTTAGGATATCGGAGTTAATGAACAGACGTATCCCTTGATCGTAGATATCAGGGCCAGCCGAGGATACCCGCAACACCAATGAAGTTACATTACAATTTTATATGTATAGGTAATATTCTTTTTAAAAAGGCGTTAGAGCCGAAGCGTTCCTTTCTTAAAACTCTTGGATTATCGTGGTAACAAATTTCTACGTGCAAAGTCGCGGGTAATGCTTTGTATATACATGTGGAGACCTGTTACAGACATTTTATAATTAACAATTAACAAACATGTTTGTACTTGTTTCAAGTTGTGTATTATGTAATTATTTCACAACAGCATTGGTACTACAATAGGAATAGGTTACGAGAACTAATTATTAATTATTAATTTACCTCTCATTGTGTTCATGCCTATGTTGTATTTGTGTAGTTACATAGTAGCTTAATGTTGCTGTGGAATTCTAAATTCTGGTTTTACTTAATAATTAGGTGCAATTTGACATTTAGTTAGAGTATTTTAGACATTTAGAGGACTCGGTGCTAAGCTGTTGACCGAGAAGCTTGGTATATTGAGAGGACCCAACGCCCAGGTACCGATGGTGACCATCCGAGCGGTTTTAAAGGAGTGTGGGTGTGGAGTGTGGGTGAGGATCCCACACTCCATAGCTTTTCTCTCTGACGGATTCACCATGTTTTTAAAAAGGGGTAGGCACTATTTAGCGGTTTTGTTTATATAGTTTAAGAAATTGTAACTAGCTACAGAGGGAAGGGCAGTAGCGTTCTGTCAATATTCTTGTCCTCACGGCAATTCCCTAGCTAACACGCAGACGTATGGATAATGGCGATTTGTTTCTTTAGAGGGAGAATATCGTTTGTTCAGCAATAGACTTACGGCTGACAATGATAGCTCTGGTTTAGTCCATCATAGATTATAATTAACCAATGTAGTACAAATTTGCTTGTAGTGTTATGAAAGAAATTCTAATCTAGTCTAGAACCTATGAAATATAAGTAAATCTAAATTGGTTTAATGCCATTCCTCAAAGGATGAAGCTTTTGTCCGGCAGTGAACATATTCCTGGCGACGATGATGACGATCATAAATATCAAGATTTAATTTAAAAAGGTGTATATACCGACTCTAAGTACATACAAAATTATATTCTAAAATAATACCATAAAGTCCCAAAGCTAAGTAAATTCCTTTTACTTAGAAAATGTGTAATAAGCAATGTTTTAGTAATGAATTTCCTTATCATCTTTCCTCCAAGTTAATGCTACGGTTGGGTTATCGCAATAAACATAATTTTACTTAAAGTCTTAAATCAATTAGATACGTAAACAGTTGTAAATGAGTACGTACATTTAACTACGATAAACTAAGAATATCTCGAATGTTCCTGTTACCATTGACGTTATGTATTGTGCCAGAATTTCTGTACCAATGTACAAATTAAATTTAATAATTAAGTACATCGTTATCTTTTACATATGTACTTATGGCCGTAATCATATCCTTATCGGACATTATACAATGTCTGTAATTGTTATGTAAATGTCGACTTAACATGAGTTTTACAATCGCGTAAACTATAATTCGCTTATATGAAGGTTCATCATTAAACATAGATAAAGTTTACATCATATCTTTCGTGAGACATATTATGAATTATTATATTTTTCGGCTTACTGACATAATTACTCACTCTGAGTAGCAGCACGACAGTCGCCGTGTCGCGGGTCGCGGTAACTCTAGCAAGGCTGAAACTAGTCGAGTTCCTCGTCACATAATTATATGATTAAGCTGAAAAACCATATTAAGAGATAAAATTGTTCCTATACAAAAATGTATGTACAAATGATTTTTAACACCACTAGCAACCGCAACAACGGATACACAACGGAGACACGGATCTGACTTACATAGGTAAACTCGACGGAAGAAATGAAACGAATGGGGAATTCCCCTTACTATAGCACGGATATCTAGGACGACGATCATTGGAGATTGAATAATTGGATTATTCAATGGTAATGTTTATAGGACGCGGGGATTCCCACAACCAAAGAGAAGTTAATGTGTTTATTATGCGCATACCAACAAGTATGTAGGTAAAGCCCAAGTTTGCATACTTGTTGAAACCGGTTTGAAACCACGCTTGTGTTTCGTCTCATGAATGAAGTTACCGGATTTCTAATCACCACCCTCTCCAACCTCCCAAATCCCTATCCTCAAAATGTCAAAATCAAATCCCAAAAATTGTAACTCTTCTCATCCTTTACAGTTACGGGTGTCCAGGGCGGCGCCTATTGCTTGCCATCGGGTGGTTGCCGTCGGCTCAAAATGCGAAACATTTCATTGAAATTTCACGTTAAATGGAACCGTATATAGCAGCTCACGTACAGCGGGGAATTATTGAATAGTTTTGTGTTTCTCTACCAAATTAAATAAATTTTATTTGCTAGATAATTGAAACTTTATTATGATAGTAGAGTTAGTGTGAATAGCGATGTGATGACTTCAGTAGGTACATACATTTGTCCCTTCCCATCAGATCTCTTAAGATATTAAGTCGATCACTATCGAGAAAATGGATAATAAATGAAGATTACAAAGTACCCATAGGCTATGCAGGTAACATGTACCCAGATAAAATAATTTATCAGCTCTGTATCTACCTTACTTTATTAAACTGCCAATGGGTGACTGTGTGGCCTTTGGCCCTGCTATCACACTGATGACATGTCAAAACGTGACAAATCGTAACACAATATAATCAAAACAATTCTGTTTTGTATGTTAGGCAGAGGCATTTCAGCAGTAATATGAACCTATTTAAGTAGTACTACTCCTTCCCCATGTGTTCGGGCCACGGAAATATTAGAATCTATGGCTATATTTCAATGGTACGTCATGGTGGCGCAACCAGTCGAGCTGCCATCAACTCCGAAAGTTACCAAATGAGACACCAAAGCCCACATAGCATACTGCGACAGCATCAAAATAGACCTCTAATGCTGACGTCCAAACTGGTTGCGGTACCAGGTGAGTACAAATCAATACATTTCTTAGGTGGTGACTGGTTGCGCTGCCATGGTGTCCCGGTCAAATATAGCACACATAAATTATCTCTGTCTAGTCAATCCGCATTGAGCAAGCATGGTGATTAATGCTTAAACTTTCTCCGTGCGAGAAGAGGCCTTTGGTCAACAGTGGCCACTTAGGTATAAAGAGAGAATGTATGATATTACCTACCACATCCTAGCCTACCAACTGCCTACCAGACAACCAGCCTAACCTAGCTAACTGGTCTAGCGGATACAAATCTGTGGAGAAATACAACTTATTCAAAAAGAAAATTGCCTAGCAGTTTCTTCTTGAAAGAGTAATCAAAATACATATTTGTAGACTCACAAACTTGAGAATTTATAACATTAGTAGATTGTAAGTAATACAAATAGAACGTGAGCCACACAGAAATAATTTTATTATATATAAGGTGTTGTTTTAAAGCCGCGTCATTTTCTATGAGGTAATTGGGCTATCGATTCTGAGCCCGAATCTATAAAAAAGTGTAGGTAAATATTTTTTATTTTTCTGTAAATTACGGAAATCTATAAGTGCGAACTACACGCCACCGTCTTGTAACTAGTTTTATAACGCGGCTTAACACACACAAACTCAAACACGTAATTGATATTGTTCCTGATTCCATAAAACTCCAATAAGAAACATTGCTGTTGCTTATTCTGAAATACTGTCGAACTTAAACGATTTATTATAGCCGTATTTTTAACTATTGGCCCGAAACTTTCTTTTACATTAAACCTTTATGACTTCTGTGACATGCCCCCGAGAAATGCCACGGTTTTAAAACTACACCTTGTATATGCATACCCCGGTCACAATAAAATTCTAGACACCGTTGTTACAACGATCATTGTTGAAAATACGAATATCCAATTTCCAATCGACTATAAATAGAGGAGGGAGATTGTATTTCATCTATATCGGCTAGAAACCTATTAACCAGTGATTTAAGTGCACATCAATATTTAAAAAGACCCATCTCAACTTATATTCTTTTTGAAAATAAAAGGCAGATAGTAACCACGATCAATTCAACATTGATGTAATGTCAAGGGAATGATAAAATTGGAAGTTAATCTGAATTTACCATCGTTCTTGTTTAGGAAAATCAAGAAAGCTGACTTTTTTATTGATATAAAGGTTAGTTTCATCTCAGTACAATGTAAGTAGATATTTACATCAAAATGTAAACTAAATAACGCAAGCGCATAACTGTACATTATCTAACCTTACTAATATAGGTACTTGCATAATCTTGTAATGTTTTTTTTTATGGAATAGGAGGCAAACGAGCAGACGGATCATCGGATGGTAAGCGATGGACACCAGAGAAGTCACAGATGCGTTGCCGGCCTTTTAAAAAGGAATACGTATGAAATAAATAAATAAATAAAATAAATTAAAATCCGTAAACCGATTTTATAAAGTGCAGATTAACCTAAGTGTGTGAGATGAAAATCATGGCTTAATTTAATTCTTTCTTTAATAAACTACGTTTTAAAAAATGAAATCCAACATTTTTTAAAGTCGGTTGATATTAAACCCTTCTCCAAAGCGTATCAAACCCGTCGCGGAGAACCTAACGGATTACCGGGGCTCCGGCTCGACGTGCAGGAGAAGGAGCGGGGTGGGTTTTAGTCAGTAAGAGTCTGACACTCCCTCCCCCTTCACCCTGGCGGGAGTAGTCATTCGATGATTATCCCCCCTTAAAAAAAGCGTAACAAACCCATTTCTGTAAACCGCATCAAAATCGGTTTGGCTAATTGCGAGACAATTGCGCATAAACATGAACCTCAAAGAAATAATATCGCAAAGGCTGACTTTATGAAGAGGGAAAAATAAATGTTTCCTTAATTATAGTAATAGATGAATACTTAAAATAATTAATACTTGAGTAACTATTTATGTAATAAGGTAATACCTACTTTATTATATCTATGGGTAATACATTATTCTGATTAAACCACCAATTAACAACCCAGATGTCCAACCACTACTATTTTACCAATGAGGCATAAATGTATTTACTCGTACCAAGTGAAAAGCACTACATAGTATAAAACAAAGTCGCTTTCCGCCGTCTGTCTGTCCCTATGTAGGTAAGCTTAGATCTATAAAACTACGCAACGGATTTTGATGAGGTTTTTTTTAATAGATACCTAGAGAGATTCTGAAGGAAGGTTTATATGTATAATACATGCATATTGCACCCGTGCGAGGCCGGGGCGAGTCGCTAGTAATAGATAAAAATTATAATAATTCATTATTATTAATACATCATTATTTACTATGAAATATAACGTAATTGCAGCAAGCAGTCGTGGAATACAAATAAAATGAAATAAAAACATTGTACACGTAAGAAAAAAGTAAAAAAATAATACCTTTTGCCATATTTGTTCGGGGGTCATTGTTATATGTGAAGTTGCAAAACACGATCACTAATGTGCGTCTCCTGCGCCGAGCGACTGACAACTGCCCGAGTCGCGCGTCAAGCGAACTCACACACACACTCGCCGACACTTATACAATTATATTTTTTGCCATTGACATTCGCGAATTGTTGACATACGTCATTTTATACGTATATACTAATACAATGCGCTTCCAATATCGCTGCAATGTCTTATCACTCATATGAAGCCAGCAGTGTATGTTGCTCATTAAAGTTTATCTTGATGAACCGTAATGTAATGATGTAATGTAATGAGATAAGTGCTGGCGCATCACACCACGCTGCTTTAGCCAGCAGTACAAATCTCTGCTTAGGTGGCGACGCCTGAAAAATGTATCTAGTTTCTTTTAGATGTCTCCGCTTTGATAGAATCTGAGTTATAATTTGAAAGATATATATTGCACTCACTCTGTCACTCTGCACTCCCCAACGATCCTCAAACTCCTAATCCCCAAAAAGCCGGTAACACACTTGTAACGCCTCTGGTGTTCCAGGTGTCCATGGGCGATGCCGATTGCTTACCATCAGGTGATCCGTCTGCTCGTTTACCGGCCATAAAAAAAAATCAATCGAGCAGTTCTCGAGTTTTAGCCAGAGTAACGAACAAAAATTCATTTTTAATTATATAGATAGATTACATTCGTTTATCATTGTTCAGAACGCAAGTTAGACATACGAATTCAAAATATGAACTCGTACACAATCACCTGATATAAATCCCAATTTGTTCATATAAAAGTAGTCTCTAAATATCGGAAATAAGGTCTGTAATGGAGTTAGTGGAGTGTGGTCACCGGTGACCGCTTGGGGATTGATCAGTATCACATCAACAGACGTGGTGGCCCGGAGGTTTAAGACGCCTGTTTCTCATACACGAGGGTGCGGGTTCGAAACCTACCAATGTGACTGTTTCCGAGTTATATGTACTTTCTAAGATTATTTAGACACCACTGACCAACGGTAAAGGAAAACATCGTGAGGTAACCTGGGCTTATAATTTCTTATTATAAGTTTTTAATCGCCAACCCGCATTGAGCAAGCGTGGTGATTAATGCTCTTACCTTCTTCATGTAAGAAGAGGCTTAGCTCAGCAGTGGGCATTTATAAGCTGTTGATGACATCAACAATCCGTGGCATGTCACTGTCGAACTGTGGGCCTCCTTCACATAAGAGTGTTTGTTAGTATCTCAACGGCTTACAGAAGACTTGACGACCGTCGTTCAAGGTTCAGGTTCATCACAGATCACTATTGCACGTATCTCTGTTTGGTCTGATCCAGTATTTTTAATCCCGAAGTCCGCACTTATGATAGTCGCAGGCAGAGGGTTTCTTTTTAATGGGACAAGTCCGCCACAACCTCACAAAACCGCTGCAAGTCTTTAAGCAGGATCTACAGTAGAAACCTCGATGAAAACAGGGGAACACTGAAGTCCGGCGCGTCACAGGGACATGAATAACTGTCTTAAAGGAAGAGGGTGTCAGTATAAAGGCGGTGATCGAATGACTAAGATTCTATAACCCTCCTAAGACGAATCAAACCTGTTGCCGCTTGGCGGCTGTGACGGCAACCATGCGTCCAATGAAGCTCTTTAAAAGTCAATATTTAAAACGCTAAAGAAATGAGTTTACGGGTTACAAATCCTGCAAAAGTAAACTGTCTGATAAAGTTATAATTTGTTAAATTAATTCCCGCTCGTGTATTTTAATTAAACAAGCAGTAAGTTACCCTAAAAAAGCAAACAGAGTAGGATAATATACAGCGGCCTAATTTCAAACTTCAAATTGCGTAAAAATACGAGCATTTAATCTAACAAAATACTTACTCAAATTCAATAACTCGTTTTGTACAATAAGAATATTTTATTGCAAGTATCAGACACGAATGTCATTGTAATTCATGTCACCCATTATTCAGAAAACAAATGTTGTAAAAATATGAGGCGCTTATAAATATTTAATATTTGTGTTGTAGGCCGTATTGGTTCCAGCACCTGTGTTGGGGCTTATTGAAACACGGTACAGGCGAGGCCTGAGGTGCAGGCTTTGGCGGGACGAGGGAGGTTTATATCCTCCCACCCTTCAGCTAGCATCGCCATTCCATCGGCGACAGCGGCCCGAGCCGGTCGTGTTCTAGAGTCCCGGTTGCCGCGAGAAAGTTCCATCGCACCTGGTCGGTAGCGTTGGTTTTACCGCCAACGGGCCATTCATTTTGAATGGCCCCGGGTTTCATATATTCTCTGGGCGCCCCGTAATCTCCATTCTTACCGGGGTTTATAAAATCTACCATCATGGCGCTCGTCGTCAAATTAAATCGGTTTAAAGTCTTGAAGTGTAAGTATGAGAAGTTCGCGCGGCTCGACTTCAGAGGTAAGTAACTGTATACGATTTTTTGAAGATTTTAAGTTAATTTTTATATTTATTTTTTTTAAATTTTTTTTCTTAATTTTGTTATATGTAATTTAATTTGTTTTTAATTAAATTAAGATATGTTTTATTGTTTTCTTTGTAAACTTACTTTATTTTACTGTACTTACGTGTTAAATAAATTATTTTTTATCGCCAGCCTGGTTTTAATTACGCTAATGCAATGTGGTACAAAGGTAAAATTATTTTTACCACATTATTAGCATGAAACGTTGAAGGTCGTTGGTGTTGAAACGCCATAGAAATTGCGGTATTCCTTTGTTTTCCTGTACGAGTCCAGTTTGAATAAACTCTATTCTTCCCGTCAAACCATAGGGAGGGGGTCAAGGAGATTATTAAAAGATACGAAATACATTTACATTTTACTTCACTATCTTACGTATTGTTCGTCAAGAATCGTGTCATAAACCGTTGTTTAATCCCTCCGCAATGAGGACCTCGGAAATAATTTATAAAGATTAACTACTGTAGCCACTCCTTAGTTTATTACGGTAGCCTTTAAACTGTGCTGAGACAAGATTTTCGTGTTAAAAACCTTCGTTGAGACACAATTTATCCACGGTTATTCGCCTGAAGAGTAATGTCTAGGTCATTACACGTATTTCTCTGAAAAGGGTTGGTAGAAGCGAATTTTCAGTAGAAACACAATTTAAGATTAATTAGTGGGCACAGTTACGGAGAATTTTGGATCGACAAATAGAAGGCTAATTTGTCTGATTAGTGAATGAAACTAAGGTTGAGGAAAAACTCCTAGATAAAGTTGTAATCACTAGAGTAACGAGACCCTTCTGCTCTTCCAGCGGGGTATAATTAGAGCCAACATTTTAACAAAGACTGGTTAGCTCTGATAAATCTAAACTGAAGTATAAAGCGATTTCCAATCAGCCTATCGAGCGCGGAGGTCATGTTAAACTCCTCTTTTGTAGAGGAGACTGATAGTCACCAATTTAGAGCAATTAAGGCTCACGGCGCGATCGTCTCCCATGGTGGCGGAATAGAGGTGGAATTTTTTAAACTCACGCAGTTTTCTGCGATCCCGTAGCTCCCGCTATTATGATTATCGCGACGGGCGGGCGGTTAAACAATCAGTTGAGTTCCAAACCGATTGTCCGGTTGCGATCGCCCGCCAACCGATCGCAGAGCGCGCAGGTGCTAGCCGCCGACGCTATGGGACCGCGGCCGAGCCTGCCGGTGCAGCGGGACCCGCGAACGATCGCAACCGCCGCGGGTGTAAAACGCGCCGTGAAAATTGCTTTGATTTTTAGATACATATCTCTATTTTACAAAGACTGCGAGCTGTCTCTATCAAGGGCCGCCACATTTATCAGTTCTTCTCATCCGTGCATGAGCGGCTGGAGAGGACTTGTTTTAGGCGCTTTTGCCATACCTATTATTGGAAGCAAATATAACAGCTCACACATAGGACCCACTTAGTTTTTAGTCAAATTTCCGTGGTGCTTGGCGATTGGGCTTCACCCAACTGGGTGAAAGGCACTTTCAAGAAAAAAGAGACTTTGCAACTGCAAAGTTTCTTTTTTGTGCCTTTAGGATTAATTAATTCTGTCTCCTGCAGTAATTCACCGAGGGAAGTGGAAACTATAGTTTTTTTTTCTTCCCCTCTTATGATTTTTTCTAATTCACTTCGTTGCGGGAACCAAGACAGTTACTCATGTCCCTGGAACGCGCCGGACTTCAGTGTTCCGGTGTTTTCATGGTTGTATCTACTGTAGATCCTGGTTTACAGGAGTTGCAGCGGTTTTGAGAGGGTGTGGCGGGTTTGTCCCATAAAAAAAAGACTGCGGAACCTCAACCGCAGTGGGCGTGGTAGAAAATCATGTCGTGAGTCCTTAGCCTTACTCAGAAAATGTTACTGATACGTATTGTGAACGCGAAAATGTTGGTTGATGCATCTTTCCTTGCCATCTCAACAGAGCTATTCGAGATTAATTAGATAGCTATGAGTGTGGGCTAGATAGTGTGGGAAAGCCATGCTTCGGCATGAATGGGCTGGCGTGACCGGAGTGATACCACGACCTCACAGAAAACCAGCATGAAACAACACTTGCGTTATGTTTCGTCGTGCGAGTAAGGTTATCGGAGGCCCAATTTCCCCTCCCCCTCCTTCTCCAATCTTACTAAACCCTGAATCCCCAACAATTCTCAAGTTCCTAATTACCAAATGGTCGCCAACGTACTTGTAGCAGCTCTGGTGTTTCGGTTGTACATGGGTAGCGGTGATTGCTTATCAGGTGATTCGTCTGCTAGTTAACAGGCTTATTTCATAAAAAAACAATAATTAGGAAACTTAACAGTGATGTAGGTTTTTTTAAGTGGGAAAGTCATGGAAGAGGTCCTACCGCTTAGGGAAGACAAGATGGCGGGTCAGACTCTGACGTAGGTTGCATTTATATCTTTGTCCGAGCGAGTGAAGCTAACGGTAGAAAGACAAAAATAAAAATGTCCTGATGTATGGACAGCAACTTTTTACATTTAACTAATATTGAACTGGTAATCCAGCGGCCCTTCGGGAAATAGGCGTGGTGTTATTTCTGTAACTTTATGATTGAGTTTCCTGTGAGGGTTGCTTTAAATACTTTTTTTATTCAGTAGTCAGTAGTTACAAATGTGACTGCCGAGGTAGGAATGGATTGATTGATTGAATATAGGTTGGATTGAATATCTAAGCCCGTTTTTTGAATATACAAAATTGCGACTGTCGATAGTTATGGAGTATTTTATCAGAATTGAGAACACAACTTGGACCTCATTGTGACGATGGACTCACGCATACGCCAATTGATATTGTGTGAATATCTATATATATAAAAGAAAGTCGTGTTAGTTACACTACTTATAATTCAAGAACGGCTCAATCGATTTAGATGAAAATTGGCAGGGAGGTAGCTTAGAACCAGGAGACGGACATAGGATACTTTTCGTAGAATGCTTTTTTTACTTTTTACCGAAAACCACGAACGGGAACGGGGTCAAAATGGGATTGCGCGTACGAAGTCGCGGGCAGAAGCTAGTTACTTATAAACTTGAATGCACATACGAGTTTTTGGGATAGTGTGAAGATCAAGCGAACGGATTTAAAATTTGGGAAATATGAAATCTTTATGTTCTGTGCAGAATACCCTTTATTTCTTAAAGAGGATAGGCAGAGATACACACATAGACTGTGCCACTGTAACTTCGCCAGTAGATACTAGGTACCAATGTGGATTAACTCTTCGAAATGCCTTGATATTTCGTTTTCAATTAGCTGTAGCTACTTTAACTACAGCTTGTTTAAGAAGACATTAGCCTAAGGTTTTTCATAAGGCCTGCTCCTAAGCCACTTAGAATTTAATCAGTTTCTTTATAACCCCGCCCGATTTCCATCTTGTACCAAATGATTAGGTACATTTATGGAAACGTCTAAAACCAATTTTAAAAACAACTAGTTTCGAATAGAGAATGAATGTAAATTATTTGCTTTGTACTTTCATTACTCAAGTTAAATTCAAGAGGACTTCAAAGTAATTTTTATGATTTCTCCTTTTGTTAAGACATTCAAAGAAAGTAAATGATTTTTATTCTTTATGACCTTTCATTATTATTATTTGATTCGAATATGAAATTGGAAAGTAACGTTAAACTGGATTATTGTTTCGAAATTATTCTGAATTAACTTTTGACTGTGGCTTCGATACATAAAAACGAAGGTCCTATCAGTCTTTGTTGTATTACAATTTAGTTAGAAATATGATCAAGTAAGTAGCCTTTTTTGGAACTTAAGCTTATAAATGGCTTGTTCTCGAAACATCGAATGCTAGTCTCACGATCAATAAGAAACTCAACAAGGCATAACATAAAACATAATATCACACCTTTTCATCCCTGAGAGGGTAGACAGGTGCTTACATTAAATGTTTCACGTTATGAATTTCATGTAACAGGGATGTGCCTGTTCCCAGTCCCCAAGCTTAATTCTGGACTCTAGACTTTCAAACTTCATAATACTTTGATTACGGTTTGAATTGAACCCAAGCCATCTCAGGCGGGGCGCGTGATCCGAACAAACCTCCTCATGCTTTAGACGTCGCGGTAGACAATCCTGGCGTCGGAGATCACACGACGACCTCTGGCCAAAGAGCGGACGGTGAGCTTGCCACCCGACCAGAACCAGACCCGTGCGTACAGCGCGTCGCGTTCCGCTTGTGCCTCAAATAGCCATCAGATCACCACAAATAGGGCCCAATAGGGTTAATGCCCGATATGGAGCCGCAGAAGGCCTATCGGGTTGCCGAGGCTCTGGCTCGAAGAGCTGGAGTAGGATCAGGGTGGTTTTTAGCCAGTAAGAGTCTGACACTCCCTCTCGCCTGACCCAAGGGAAGAGAAGACATTGGATGATTTTCCCCCCTAAAAAAAAGCTTTCTCACTTAAGACCAACAAGGCAGTCTTGGAAAATTCTGTTTATGACACGTTTGCCTTTGTGTTACAAAAACATTACGTTCTGATGAGAATTTTTTGCTTCTTTGAAAGTTACAATTTAATAATCTTTTCACTTTGTGAATATTAAGCAGGAAATGTAGTCTCTACGCGTTTTATGATAATAATATACATACAAATTTATATTATGTACGTAAATCTATTTGAATAATTTTCTTTTAAATATTTACTTAAGAATACCATGTCTGTTAGTAACTGTCAGAAGAATTCTTACAGTGTTCCTGTTCTGTCTTACCTCTTGGAGAAATGTTGACTGATCTGAAAGTAGACTTGTAGCTAAAATAAAGTCATTATTGATTATATACTAGCTTCTGCCAGCGGCTTCGCCCGCGATCCCAGGAGGAAAATGCCAATGTATTACTTCAGACCATACTCTACCTCTGTTCCGAATTTCATTCCGGTCCCTTCAGTCGTTTTAATATGACTGAGTAATAAAAATACACAAACAC